TCTTTTATGCAAGTGAGACATTCCCTGGGAATAGTTTGAGGTTCTAAAACAAAACCAGTGTTCTCCTGGGTTTCCCACTGGGTTTTACCCAAGGCAAGGGATAAAAACTGGAATATCTTATATATGGAAGAAATTCCTTCCTGTGAGGGTGGGAAGGCCCCCTGGCACAGGTTGGGCAGAGGAGCTGTGGCTACCCCATCCCTGGAAATGTCCAAGGCTGAGTTGGATGGGGTTTGGAGTGACCTGGGATAGAGAAAGGTGTCTCTGCCCATGGCAGGACATGGCACTGGATGATCCTTAAAGTCCCTCCCAACACAAACCATTCCATGATTCTACAATTCAGTGATCATCACCACTGCTGCCTCAGCTCTGATGGTGGTCCTCCATCCTTGCTTTCCAGCTGGAAATCCAAGGCAAGCTCTACTTGGCTCCACTGACCACGGTAGGTTGATAACTTTTGTCCATTTGTCAAAACTTGCCGTTGCCGCCGTCGGAACGGAGCAGATCTCCTGACAGTCCCTGCCCCTGCTGTCCCTGGCAGTGCGGGAACCTCCCTTTCCGACGGATTTGCAAACGCTTCGGAGCAGATGTCACCTGTGGGGAGATGGCTGTGTGCACCAACCTGCTCCAGGGCCAGTCCTCGGAGTGGGCCCTGCTCAAACGCCACCACACCGAGGATATTTTTGGGGTGCAGGTGAGTGTTGTCGCCTCAATAAAACTGAACTTCCGAGGAGAAAAGCGGCCTCTGGAGCTCATGGAAGCTTTGGCTCCCTTTGGCAGCTGGAGGGAGCCTTTCCAGACACCATGACCAAGTGTGCAGAGCTCCTGAACAGGACAGTCGAGGTGGATTTTGTGGACATCAACGTGGGCTGTCCCATTGACCTGGTCTACAAGAAGGTGAGTTGTGGGGCGCATTTTCCTTCCTTCCATGGATCCTTGTCTTCTCCCTTATGCCCTGCTGCCTGACCTGCTCCTGCCAGGCTGATCCAGAGCTCCCAGTTCATTTATGGGCACTGGACCTCAGCAAGAAGGTGAATAAGCTGCTCAAGGAGCAGGGAGTGGCTGTCTTTCCCTGGCAAAATTTGGGAGGAGAGTGCTGTGGGCTGGTTGGGTTTTTTTGTTAAAGAATCCATTTTCTGCAAGCCTTGAGATGCTCCAAGTCTTTCCTGCATTCCCTGAGCAGCTCCAAGGACTCTTCACTACGCAAGGAAGCGGAAAGTCTTGACTGTGCCACGTTTTGTCCCTCAGGGAGGAGGTTGTGCTCTCATGACTCGCTCCAACAAGTTTGAACAGATTGTCCGCGGGATGAACTCGGTGAGTCGGAGCGCCTGGAGATGATGGAGCTGATGGATCCACCTCCTGCCTCGGCCTGGCCTCATTCTCCCACTCCTGCAGGTGCTGGATGTCCCTCTGACGGTGAAGATCCGGACTGGAGTGCAAGAAAAGATTAATGTGGCTCATAAAATAATCCCCAGGATCCGGGAGTGGGGAGCATCCATGGTCACGGTACGGGAATACTTGTGGTGGTGTGAGATTGGGAATTCTGCATGTCAGCCTGGAGACAAGGGGGGGTGTGACCTTCCCCTGCCCCAACAGCTCTTTCAAACCCCTTGGAGCAGATGTGTGCTGCATTTTAGTGTTCTCTGCTAATCCAAGAGGAAAATTCAGGAGCAGAAAGTGTTTTCCTTGTTGCTCCTGGGACACCTTCCACTATCCCAGGTTGCTCCAAGCCCTGTCCAACCTGGCCTTGGACACTTCCAGGGATGGGGCATCCACAACCTTAAGGAGATGGTTCCTGCAGAAGTTTCAGCCAAGGAAGCCTTGTTCTGTCAGGGCAGGGGAAATAATGGGACCAGCTCATTGTGTGGGGGTTAGTTCCTGCCCACGGGGAATATTCCCATTCCCTGTGAACAGCCACTTCTTGCTCTGGCTCACAAATAGCCAAAATGTCACCCCAAAAGCCTCCAGCCCACTCAGCTATGCTCAGCCCTTCCTGTAGATCCAGAGGTAGATCCAGAGGTAAATCCTGGGGGATCCCTTACCCAGTTCTCTCTGTCAGCAGCACTGGGCTGTAAATCCAAAGGCAGATCCTGAAGTAGATCCAGAGGTAGATCCTGAGGGATCCCTTACCCAGCTCTGCTCACCCCTTCCTCAGCCCCCTCCATCAGCAGTTCCTGGGCTGTAGATCCAGAGGAAAATCCCAAGGGATTCTTTACCCAGGTCTGCTCTGTGAGCAGCTGCTGGGTGGTAGATCCAGAAGCAGATCCTGAAGAAGATCCAGAGTTAATCCCAAGAGATCCCTTACCCAGCTTTGCTCTGTCAGCTACTGGGTGGTAGATCCAGAAGTAGATCCTGAAGAAGATCCTGAGGTAGATCCCAAGGATCCCTTACCCCATCCTGGTGTGATTCCCTTTGCTGGAGCACGTTTCTCCCATCCTGCCCTGCCTCTCCAGCGAGGTCTGAGTGGGATCTCTCCCCCAGCTCCACGGCCGATCCCGGGAGCAGCGGTACACGCGGAGCGCCGACTGGGAATACATCGCCGAGTGCGCCAAGATCGCCAGCCCCATGCCCCTGTTTGGTACGTGGGTCTTGTTCCTTCACCTGTTTGATTTGAAATACCCTTTAAAAAAAGGGAAAAAACCCCCAGATTCCCAATGATATTTAGCCTGGGGGAAAGTTTGGAACATCCCTGGCGGAGTCACCGGCGCCTCTGCCTGTGTTTGGGGATGAGGAGAAGGGACAGGTAGGACATGAACCACTTGGGTTTTACCAGGTGCTTTTTGGGCCCCTGTGGCACAGACAATCCCCAGACCTTCCAGGTAGGAGCTGGGAGTGGAGGAGAAGAGAGGAGAAGGCTCCTCTTTTCCTTGTAAGAGGAATCATAAATATCCACCCCATAAACATCCCTGGGAATCTCTAACCTTGGCTCTTTGAACAGTCTGGTTCTTGGACTCTGTGTCCATTTTGAATTTTATCCCGTGCCTGGATTAACTCATTTTGACTTGTCCTTATGGCTCACTTTGACCTCTGGCTTCTCCCTCCTTTCCGGGCAGGAAATGGGGATATTTTATCTTACGAAGATGCAAATCGAGCCATGGAGATGGGAGTTTCTGGAATCATGATTGCAAGGCAAGTGCTTGTGTTTCCTTTCACTTCTGAGCTCTTGTTGGTTCCAGAGTTAAAAAAAAAAAAAAAGGAATTAAAAAAAAAATCCCTAAACAACCCCCAAAACACGAGAAGTTTCCTCGTGTTGAAACTGCTCTGAAAATTGATAAAATCAATTTGGATCGGTGAGAAGTTCCAGCAGCTTCTTGTTGGAATGAGAAACAAAATTAAAAGCAGAATTGGCTGGTAAAAAGGGCTGGGAAGTGGCTAAAATCATTTGGCATCTTCAGGAGCATCAGTGATGGGAATAACAATGCCCTTTTTTTTTTTTTTTTTTTTTTTTTTTTTTGACTGCAGAGGGGCACTCATCAAACCATGGCTTTTCACCGAAATTAAGGAGCAGAGACACTGGGATATCTCCTCCGGGGAAAGGTTTGACATCCTCAAAGACTTCACCAACTACGGCCTCGAGCACTGGGGGTCGGACACTCAGGGAGTGGAGAAAACCAGGAAATTCCTGCTGGAATGGCTCTCTTTCCTGTGCAGGTAACTCTGCCCAGCCAAAACTGGATTGATCCAAGAGGATCTTTGAACAATATTTAATTAAACTCCAGCACTCACTGCTGTTCCATCCCATCCCAGGTACATTCCAGTTGGATTATTGGAACATCTACCTCAGAGAATTAACGAGCGGCCGCCGTATTACCTGGGGAGGGACTACCTGGAGACACTCATGGCCAGCCAGAACGTGGATGATTGGATCAGAATAAGGTAATAAAATGTGGAATTTAATTTAAATTGCTAAAAAGGGATGTGGCAGAGCCCCCGTGGAGCCACAGGGTCATGTGACAGCCGTGGGCTGAACACAAACCTCTCCTTGAGTTTGGTTTTGTCGTTGTCCTTGTCTTTCTTCCCTGGAAGTGCCCCAAGGCCAGGTTGGATGAGGCTTGGAGCAACCTGGGCTAGTGGAAGGGGCTGGAACAAAATGGTCTTTAAGGTCTCTTGATTGATTCTGTGATTGATTCTTTCTTCCAGTGAGCTGCTCCTGGGCCCTGTCCCTCCCAGCTTCACCTTCCTGCCAAAACACAAGGCCAATTCCTACAGATAGGGCTGGCCAGGCCCTTTCCCGTGGCGTGGAGGCAAGAGGAGGCGTTGGGTTGGGGTGTCTGGAGGAGCAGGATTCCTCAGCTGCGCTCAGAAGTGGAATAAAGCTGACGTTTTTAGAATCTGGTGGGTTTTTTGCCTTCCTGCCCCAGACCTCAGTCCTGGCAGGACAACATCTATTTGTGAGCAGGAGGGATCTTTGTCCTCCAGAGCTGTCCCAGCTCAGCAGGAGGCCTCTGTTCCTTACCAGGATGTCCTTGGGAGTGACAAACTCCAAGGACAAGGAGCAGCAACATACCCCCTGCCTCTTCTGCTGCCCCCCCGCAACCGGGGGGACCCCGAGCTGATGTTCAGGGGTCCAAAGAGGAGCTTCTCAGAGTTTCCAAAGGCTCTTTGGGTGCATGTAGGGAGTCAGCCTGGAGGGTCTCGGTGGTGTCCCCACACCTGGGGACCCAGGTGGCACCAGAAGAGGTGGGAGAGTGGTGGTCCCAGCCCCTGCAGTGCTGTTGACACCCATCACTGCCACCTCCACGGGGGCATCCCGTGGTGACACATCCCATGGATCCCATGCTGACACACACCCCCAGCCCCTCTGCTGACCCCAGAGGGACAGGGCAGGGCTGGGGCACCGTGGGGATGCCTTGGAGCAGCCCCCCGTCCCCCCGTCCCCCCCAATCCCATGGAGGAGCTGCTGCCTGGGGAGGTGTCATGGCGGCCCCCTGTGCCCCGGTAGGTGTCATGGCGGGCGCAGGAACCGGAAGAGCTCGCGTCACGTGACGCCCCCTCTTCCGGGTGCGGGCGGTGGGAGCGCCCGGTAGTGGCGGGGAGGGCACTGGGAGAACTGGGGGGGAACTGGGAGCACAAGGAGATGGGGGGATAACGGGAGAGCAGGGGGGGAAGGGGGGGGGTACAGAAGCACTAACTGGGGAGACTGGGAGGGTACAGGAGAAACTGGGAGGTTACAGGAGAATTAACTGGAAGGCTGGGGGAGTACATGAGCACTAACTGGGCAAACTGGGAAGCATAGGGTGGATAACTGGGAAGGTGCACAAACACTAACTGGGTGAACTGGGGAGCCCAGCATGGATAACTGGGGGCAGAAAGGGAACTGGGAGGGTACAAGAGCACTAACTGGACAAACTGGGGGGGTACAGGAGCACAAACTGGGAGGCACAGGGGGAACTGGGAGGGTACACAAGCAATAACTGGGGGGGCCCAGCATGGATAACTGGGAGCACGGGAGGGACTGGGCAGGTACAGAAGCACTAACTGGGGAGCCAGGCGTGGAAAACTGGGAGGTGTGGGGCAACTGGGAGGGTACTCAAACACTAACTGGGTGAACTGGGGAGCACAGTGTGGCTAACTGGGGGCACTGGGAGTGACTGGGAGGCACGGGGTGCTGGGGGGGGGCTCACCCGGGGGGGCGGGGGGGGGGTCCCTCCCCACTGAGCCCAGCACAGGGGGGCTGTTCCCACAGGATGCTGTCACGGGGCCGGCGGCTCCTGCGCTCCTGGAAATCCCTGTTCACGGGGAGGCTCCTGCTCCTCACCAACACCCTGAGCTGTGGGGGCCTCCTGGCAGCTGGAGATTCCCTGCAGCAGGAATGGCACCGCCGGAGGCACCCGGAGAGCCAACACCAGCTGGGCCGAACTGGTGAGGGACTGGGAGGGGGGGGGCAGGACAGGCTGTGTGACTCCCACTGCCAGAGGGCAGCGTTGGATGGGATATTGGGGAGGAATTCCTCCCCGGGAGGTTGGTGAGGGGCTGGAATGGATTTTCCAGGGAAGCTGTGGCTGCCCTATCCCTGGAAGTGTCCAAGGCCAGGCTGGAGAAGAGAAGGCTCCAGGGAGACCTGAGAGCCCTTTCCAGGGCCTAAAGGGGCTCCAGGAGATCTGGAGAGGGACTTGGGACAAGGGATGGAGGGACAGGATATAGGGAATGGCTTCCCACTGCCAGAGGGCAGGGATAGATGGGATATTAGGAAGGAATTCCTCCCTGTGAGGGTGGGCAAGCCCTGGCACAGGTTGCCCAGAGAAGCTGTGGCTGCCCCATCCCTGGAAGTGTCCAAGGCCAAGTTGGAACACCCTGGGCTAGTGGAAGGTGTCCCTGCCTGTGGCAGGGGATGGGAGTGGATGAGCTTTATGGTCCCTCCCAACCCAAACCAATCTGGGATTCTGTGATTTATGGAACCCCCCTCCTGGGTGCTTCTCCCAAAAGTGGATTCAGCTCTGGGGAAGGCACAAAGTGTGACCCTGATTCCCTCCCTGTGACAATGAGGAATTAATCACAGAATGATTTGGGTTGGGAGGAACCTTTAAGCCCATCCAGGCCCCCCCCGCCACAGGCAGGGACACCTTCCATTATCCCAGGTTGCTCCAACCTGGCCTTGGACACTCCCAGGGATGGAGCAGCCACAGCTTCTCTGAGCAACCTGTGCCAGGGCCTCCCCACCCTCCCAGGGAAGAATTCCTCCCTAATATCCCATCTATCCCATCTAACCCTGCCCTCTGGCAGTGCAAATCCTCCATCCCTGCCCCTGGTGTTGTTCCCAGGTCGGATGTTTGCCGTTGGCTGCAGCATGGGCCCCTTGATGCACTACTGGTACCTCTGGCTGGACTCGGCGTTCCCGGCCCGGGGCGTGCGGAGCCTCCGGACGGTCCTGAAGAAAGTCCTCATCGACCAGCTCGTGGCATCGCCCGGCCTGGGCGCCTGGTACTTCCTGGGTACGTGTGGCACTGCGGGCTGGAAGTGGGATCCATGGAATCCTGGAATATCCTGAGCTGGGAGGGACCCACAAGGATCATCCAGTCCAATTCCTGGCCCTGCCCAGGACACCCCAACAATCCCCACCCCGTCCCTCAGAGCGTTGTCCAAGAGTTCTGGACATGTTCCCTGGGGTTTGCTTTTGTTCTTCTCCACCTCCTGCCCCTCTTTATTGAAGGAGTTGGTCCTTGATTTGTCACCTATGAACACAGAAACATCCACAGCAACAATGCAGCAGGATTTCTGTAGAATCCTGGAGTATCCTGAGCAGGAAGGGACCCCCAGGGATCATCAGGACACCCCAACAATCCCACCCTGTCCCTCAGAGCGTTGTCCAAACCCTCCTGGAGCTCTGGCAGCCTTGGTGCTGTGCCCACTGCCCTGGGGAGCCTGTTCAGTGCCCAACCACCCTCTAGGGGAAAAATTTCCCAATATCCAACTTAACCCTCACCTGACTCAGCTCCAGCTGCTCCCTGGGTCCTGTCCCTGCTCACCAGAGATCAGTGCAGCCCCTGTGCTTCCCCTTCCATTTCCTGGAGCTCCCTCCCTCTGGATGGTGCTTCAGTGCCCTTCCCTCCCATATTGAGAGGGTTTTGGGGGCCCTTTCCATGTCTGGCACTGAGATGGCAACTCCCATCCATGCTCCCACCCCCACTGACTCTGTCCCCACAGGCATCGGCACCCTGGAAGGTCAGTCTCTGGAGGAGAGCTGGGATGAGCTCAAGGAGAAATTCTGGGAGCTTTACAAGGTAAACCCTTCCCTGAGCATTCCCTCCCTCCCCTGGCACGTCCCATGGATCCAGTGGGAAGCATCCAGCTGGCTCCTTGCTCTCCTCAGGCCGACTGGTGCGTGTGGCCGGCGGCTCAGCTCCTCAACTTCCTCTTCGTCCCTCCCACCTACCGGGTGGTTTATGTCAACGTGGTCACCCTGGGCTGGGACACCTACCTGTCCTACCTCAAATACAGGGTGAGTCCCCTGGGCTGGGACTGTCCCTGTCCCACCTCAAACACCATCCCTGTCCCACCCCAAACACCCAGTGAGTCCCCTGGGACTGTCCCTGTCCCACCCCAAACACCCAGTGAGTCCCCTGGGACTGTCCCTGTCCCACCTCAAACACAGGATGAGTTCCCTGGGCTGGGACTGTCCCTGTCCCACCCCAAACACTGTCCCTATCCCACCTCAAACACAGGGTGAGTTCTCTGGGCTGGGACTGTCCCTGTCCCACCTCAGACATCCAGTGAGTCCCCTGGGCTGGGACTGTCCCTGTCCCACCTCAAACACTGTCCTTGTCCCACCTCAAACACCCAGTGAGTCCCCTGGAACTGTCCCTGTCCCACCTCAAACACAGGTCTGGGACTGTCCCTATCCCACCCCAAACACTGTCCCTATCCCACCTCAAACACCCAGTGAGTCCCCCTGGGCTGGGACTGTCGCTGTCCCACCTCAGGCACCCAGGGAGTCCCCTGGGCTGGCACTCTGAGCAGTCTGGAGGGTGCCCAGCTGATCCCATTATCCCTGTTTTCCAGCCTAGAGCCACCCCAGGCCCCAAGCAGGACTCTCCTCGGGAGGAGCAGCAGCGCAGTGCCAGGGCGTAGAGAGGTGGATGTGGCGCTTCCAGAGGCTCCTGCCTGCAGCAAATGGCATTTTTTGGGGGGCACTGTGGCCCCTGGGGATTGATCAACCCAAGGGGAGCGATGGCTGGAGACCACCAAGGCCAGACACCCCCCCCCAGCCACGTGCCTCTTGCTGATTAACTCATCTGCTAATTAAGATGGGTTGGGGTTGTGTTGGTAACAATCTCCTGTTGCAGGATGACCTGTAAAGTGATTTCTTCTGGGATTTACCCCTGGAGCCGGGGTGAGGAGCTGCTGTAGCCCCTGGGAAGGGCTCTGGTGCTTTCCCTGGCTGCTCCAGGCTGGATTTGTTCCCTCTCTCCAGAGCAAACTTGCTCCTTTCCAACCTTCTCAGATCCACTCCAGCCACTCAGATCCTCACTAATTCATCAGGAAAGAATTCTTCCCTGGGAGGGTGGGGAGGCCCTGGCACAGGGTGCCCAGGGAAGCTGTGGCTGCCCCTGGATCCCTGGAATTGTCCAAGGCCAGGTTGGAACAACCTGGGCTAGTGGAAGGTGTCCTTGCCCATGGCAGGGGGTGGCACTGGATGAGCTTTGTCCTTCCACTCCGAGGCATTCCATGATTCATTTCGCCTGCTTGGCAGAGGGAGGATGCCCCTCTGCAGCTCCTCGTTCCTTCCCCTCCTGCTTTTTGTCTTGCAGCTCAAGGATGGAATCACTCCACTCCCCCACCCTCTGCTCCTGTTCCCCCCATTCCCCCCTTTCCCACCCCCCTGGCTGTGGGGGCTGGAGCCTCCCAGCTGGGATATAAATAGGGGTGTGATCACACCAGTCTGCTCTGCCGAGCCTGGGAGGGGGGGGTTGGAGGCAAATTTTGGCAGGATTTGGACCATCCCATCCCTCTTCTCCCAGCCCTGGGCGAGCTGGACACTCCCTGCATCACCCAGGAGCTGAATTATTTCCAGTATCAATGAAAACTGCCTAAATGTGATTTTTTTTTTCTTTTCTTAGTTTTCAAGCTGTGCCTTAAGGCTCTACTCTCGTGCCTCCTGGTGTCACACCCCTGGAGGGACACAATCCCTCCTTCCACAGCAGCAGGAGCCAGCTGGGGAATGATAATTAAAAAAAAAACCCCAAAACCAACAAAACCCAGATAATTTTGGCTTTTCTCTGGCAACTCAGGGACACCACAGAGCAGAGGGTGCACCCCACTGTCCCCACAATGACCCCGAGGGACCTGTGTGATCAGCATCGATTTATTTCTTCACAACATTTCTTTTTAATACAGTGATTTTTAGGAAATTGTACCCTTTTTTTTTTGTTTGTTTTGTTGGTTTTTTTTGACACTTTTGACATTTGTACAGTACAGTGTAACTCTTCCATAAGTAAACTTCACAAAAAAGAGAGGGGGGGGGAGGCTGGAAAAGGGGGGAGAGGGAGGAAGATGGAATTATGGTAGGGGAGGGGAAAGAGGGGAAGGGGAAAAAAAAACCTGTGAAATAAAAGACACGGCGCTCCAAGAAAAAATAAATAAAGGGCAGCTCTTGTCATTGCTACGGGAATATCCACTTATTCACAGTCTCCACAGAAGCACAGTACTACAGGAACACGAGATTCCCAAATCCCTGGAGCAAACCAGCAACACTCTGCTCACCACCACCCCCAAACCCTGGGGCTGATTCGCTCCAGGTCTCTTGGCCTCGCTGATGTTACTTTAATGAACTCATTTCCTTTTAAATCTTTTAAATAATAAGAGATTTCGTTTTGTTTTTGTGGGTTTTTTTGTTGGGTTTTTTTTTTTTTTTAAAGTGATATTTAAAAGCAAGGTTACCACACCAAAAAAAAAAAAAAAAAAAACCAAAAAAAAGGGCGAAAAAAAAAGGAGATAGGAAAAAAAAAATCAATATATATATATGTATATATATAAATGCACCACCACGGCCACAGCACAGCAGGTCACAGCGTCACTTCCTACGCCTATTTACAAGGAATCTCTGTATGTACAAGGAGGAAGACGGCGGGAGCATAAATTAGCATCTATTTATACAAATAAACAAGAGTCAGGAAATATCCATCCAGCTGGAGGGGCAGGAAAAGCCGGGAAGAAAGAGCTCATCCCCTTCCGGGAGCTCTTGGGGGGAAAGGGGGGAGCAATGCCAGGCTGGGGAGGGAGGGAGGGGGGATTTGGGGGTCCTGGGGAAGCAGCCACACCCTGGGGAGGGGGGTCCTTGGGGGTCTCCCAGGGCAGGGGGGGTCTCAGGGCATCAGGGGGGGTCTCCCAGGGAATGGGGTTCTCAGGGAAGGGGATCCCAAGAGAAGGGGGTGCTCAGGAAAGGGGGTTCTCACAGAAGGGGGTCCCCAGGGAAGGGGCTTCTCAGGGCAGGAGGGTCTCCCAGGGCAGTGGGTCCCCAGGTCAGGGGGTCCCCAGGGCAAGGGGCTCCCCCAGGGAATAGGGTCCTCAGGGAAGGGGGTCCCCAGGGATTGGGGGTCCCCAGGGCAGGAGTTTCTCAGGGAAGAGGGGGGGGTCCCCTCAGAGCAGTGGGGTCCCCAGGGAAAGGGGTCCCCCAGGGAAGGGGGTTCTCAGGAAAGGGCTGGGGGCAATGGTTCCTTGGACAGTGACTAAAAGCAGAATGAGGGGAGTTTTCTACCAGCCCAGGCTTCAAAATAAATTAAGGGGGTGGGTTGAGGGGCACAGCCTAATGAATGGGGGGGGGGGGGGGGGGGGGGAGCTCCTAAAGGGGCCGCAGCCCTTTGGGAGGTATCAGCAGCAATTCCCCCACGGGACCCCCAAGAGGAGGGGCTGGGGGGGGGGGGGGGGGGGGGGGGGGGGCCCGGGGCCGGTTTTGGGGGGGGTTTGTGGAGGAGGGGTGGGGCTGGCCCCTAGCAGGCACAGTCCTGGTGGGGAGGGGCCTGCTGGTCCGTGAGCTGGGGGCCCTGCTTGGCCCCGGTGACGGCGGGGTCGGCCGTGTCCAGCGACTCCGACATCTTCTCGCAGATGATGTCCACCAGCCGCTCGAAGGTCTGCTTCACGTTGATGTTGTCCTTGGCACTGGCCTCAAAAAACTCAAATCCTGCACGGGGTGGGGGCAGAGGGACACGGGGGACACACACACACACAGACAGATCAGGGTTCCAGCCCTGCCTCCAGCCCGACAACATCGGAAACCGCCGCAGCTCCTCCTCCTCCTCCTCTTGTTAAATATTAATGAGCTGCCCAACCCGCAGTGTCCAACCTGCCCCCCACACGGGGACACCTCGCCCAGAAACTCCCCCTCCCATTCCCCCTCCCCAGCGGCTCTCAGAGGGTTTAAGGGTGGTAATAAACCCCCTCACACACGGCTCAAGGACTCCATGTTTTTTTCACCCGGCGCCAAGTCACCAGTTGAAGCGGAGCAATTACAGGGAGGGAATAAAGCCCTTAATTAAATTATTTGTTGGATGATGGCCATGGGGGAGCGTTCCCCTCTCCCCAGCTCACCCAGGTGCTCGGCGAGCTGGCGGCCCTTCTCCGAGGAGACCACGCGCTCATCCTCCATGTCACACTTGTTCCCCACCAGCAGCACCTGGGCGTTGTCCCAGGAGTAGGTCTTGATCTGGGTGGACCTTTGAGGGAAAGGAGAAGAGGGATAATGTAGGGGGGCTGAGCAGGGTGCTGGGAGGGGTGGCTGGGAAGGGCTGGGAGGCCACTCACCAGTCCTGCACGGCGTTGAAGGACTCCTCGTTGGTGATGTCGTACATGAGGATGAAGCCCATGGCCCCGCGGTAGTAGGCGGTGGTGATGGTGCGGTACCGCTCCTGCCCGGCCGTGTCCTGGGCAGGGACAGCAGGATGTCACCCCTGGGGGGGACAGTGACACCCCTCGGGGTGCTCCAGGGGCTATGGAGGTCCCTGGGGACACGTCTCTTCCCGTCATGTCACCCCCAGGGGCACAGTGACACCCCTCAGGGCTCATCAGGGGTCCCTGGGGACATGTCCCAACCCACCATGTCAGCCCGGGGACACAGTGACAACCCCTTGGGGTGCTCCAGGGGTCCCTGGGGACATGTCCCTCCCCACCACGTCACCCCCAGGGACACAGTGACACCCCTTGGGGTAGTCTGAGGGCCACCGAGGTCCCTGGGGACACGTCCCTTCCCACCTGGGCATCACCCCTGGGGACACAATGACACCCCTCGGGGAGCTCTGGTGCCACCAAGGTCCCTGGGGACACGTCTCTTCCCACCATGTCACCCCCAGGGGCACAGTGACACCCCTCAGGGTTCTCCAGGGGTCCCTGGGGACACGTCCCTCCCCACCATGTCACTGGGGTGGACAGTGACACTCCTTGGGGTGCTCCAGGTGCCACTGAGATCCCTGGGGACACATCCCTCTCCACCCTGGCATCGCCCTGGCCACCCAGGTTCATGGGGACACATCCCTCCCCACCATGTCACCTCTGGGGCCAAAGTGACACCCCTTGGGGTGCTCCAGGGGTCCCCAGGGACATGTCCCTCCCCACCATGTCATCCCCAGGGACACAGTGACACCCCTCGGGGCGCTCTGGGCATCACCAAGGTCCCTGAGGACACATCCCTTCCACCCCAGCATCACCCCTGGGGACACAGTAACACCCCTCAGGGCCCTCCAAGGACCACCAAGGTCCCTGAGGACACATTCCCTCCCACCCCACCAGCCCTGGGGACACAGTGACACCCCTCAGGGCGCTCTGGGCGTCACCAAGGTCCCTGAGGACACATCCCCTCCCACCCCAGCGCCGCTCCCGGTGCTTCCAGCCCTTCCAGCTCCGCAGGACGGAGCAGCCCCAACACGACCACCCCCTCCCACCCTTCCGTGAGGGCTCGAGGGCGCCCCAGGGGTCTCACCCAGATCTGCAGCTTGATGCGCTTGTCGTTCCGATAGATGGTCTTGACCTTGAAGTCGATGCCGACGGTGCTGACGAAGGCGGGCGTGAAGGAGTCGTCGGCGTACCGGAACAGGAAGGAGGTTTTCCCGACGCTGCTGTTCCCGATGATCAGGATCTTGAACATGTAATCGAAGTTCTGGTCCGAGGATTCCTTCTGCCCATAGCGGGAGTCGGTAGCCGACGCCATCTGCAAGGCGGGGGAGAGGCCGTGACGGTCCCAGGCCCCGGCTCGGAGCCGATTCCCGGCGCTGTGGGCACGGAGCCGGCGTGTTCCGGCTTGGGATGGGCGGTGGGGTGGCCATGGTGGGTCACTCGCCCCACAGGGCTCGGACAGGACACCTCCTGTCACCCCCAGCGAGGCGGGCCCGTGGTACATGTGGGGCACGTGGATCCCGGCGTTTGCCGTGGATCCCAGGGTTTCCCGCAGCCCTCGGAACGTGCCGTGGTCCCCAGGAGTTGCCGTGGATGCTGGGGTTTGCTGTGGATCCTGGGGTTTGCCACGGCCCCCCAGGATTTGCTGTGGATCCCAGGATTTGCTGTGGATCCCAGGGCTTGCTGTGGATCCCAGGGTTTGCCATAGCCCCTGGGATTTGCTGCAGCCCCCAGGATTTGCTGTGGATCCCAGGATTTGTTGTGGATCCCAGGGTTTGCTGCAAACCCCAGGATTTGCCATGACCCCCAGAGGGTTTGCTGTGGATCCCAGGATTTGCCATGGCCCCCAGGATTTGCTGTGGATCCCAGGATTTGCTGTGACCCCCAGGATTTGCCATGGCCCCCCAGGATTTGTCGTGACCCCCCGAGGGTTTGCTGTGGATCCCAGGATTTGCCATAGTCCCTGGGATTTGCTGCGGCCCACAGGATTCGCTGTGGATTCCAGGATTTGCCGTGACACCCCCCCACAAAGGTTTGCTGTGGATCCCAGGGTTTGCTGTGGATCCCGGGGGTTTGCCACGGATCCTGGGGTTTGCTGTGGACCCCAAGGGGTTTGCCATAGCCCCTGGGATTTGCTGTGGCCCCCAGGATTTGCCGTGGATCCTGGGATTTGCTACGGATCCAGGGGTTTGCTGTAGCCCCCGGGATTTGCCGTGGATGCCAGAATTTGCCATGGCCCCAGGGGTTTGCTGTGGCCCCTGGGGGTTTGCCATGGCCCCCAGGGTTTGCCACGGTCCCCAGGATTTGCCGTGGCCCCCGGGATTTGCCATGGATCCCAGGATTTGCCGTGGATCCCAGGATTTGCCGTGGATCCCAGGATTTGCCGTGGCATCGGCAGGTGCGGCCGGGACGCCGCAGCCTCTCCTGCATCTCCCCCACAAAATGGCACCAGCGCGGTGACACGGCACCGCGAGGTGCCACAGGGTGCCGGGGGGGGGGTGTCCCGGGGTGCCGGAGGGGTGCTGATGCCAGGCAGGGGAGGGCACAGAGATGGGTGCCCACCCAGGGCTGGTGCGGGGGGATGCAGGATGGAGCACAGGGATGCTGGGAAGCGCTGTGGGGTTCAGGGTGCCGATGGAGGGGGGTGCCGGCTGCTACAGGGAGGGGGTTTAGGGTGCTGATGGGGGGGGAGGTGCAGGAGGCTCACGGGGGGTGCACGGGGTGCTCACAGCGAGGGTGCAGGGTGCCACAAGGAGGGGGCTAGGGATGCTGATGGGTGGGGGCGCAGGGCGCTCATGGGGGGCGCACAGGGCGCTGCAGGGAGGGGGCGCCGGGTCCTGATGGGGAGGGCGCGGGGGGGGCTCAGGGCGCTCATGGGGCCGCTCCAGGTGCTGCAGGGAGGCGCCCACCCCACGCCCGACCCCGCTGCACCCATTCGGTCCGCGCCGCAACCCCCCCTCAACGGGGACCCTGCGCATCCCCCCCGCCCTGCGCCGCATCCATCACCATCATCACCACCACCACCATCATCATCATCATCACCATCACCATCATCACCACCATCATCATCATCATCATCACCCCCCCCCTCCGCCCCCCGCCCGCCGCCGCCTCCCGCCTCCGCCGCTGCACCGCGCCTCCCCGCCGGCTGCCGGGCGAGCCCCTGGGTGCCGGGGGGTGCCGGGGGTGCCGGAGGGTCCGGGGGGGGGTCCCGGGGGTGGGTGTGGGGGGGTCTCACCTCTGCCGCGCTCGCTCCTCCCGCAGCGACTGCAGCAGATGCGGACCCCGGGTGACGTCGGCAGAAGGGGCGTGGCCCGCTATGCAAATGAACCGTCGCGTCACGGGCGCGCCCCGGAGCGCGGCGCTGATTGGTCCGGCGGCGCGCGGTGATGGACAGCGGGGAGGTGAAGGGGGGGGCGGCCCCCCCCTCCCGGCGCGGTGGTGGGCGCCGCGCCCCCCCCTCGGCCGCGCGCGGTGGTGGGGTCCGGCCGAGCGGTGTGAGGCGCGGGGTGAACCACGCGCCGCGCGGGCGGGGGGAGCGGGGCGGACCATTCCCGCTCAAGGGGGGGGGGGAGCGAGATCGCGCAGCCTCGCTGTCGCGACATGGCAGCGCTATATCGCGACGCCCCCCCTAGGCGTGGCAGTGGCGGTCGGGCTGATCTTTACCCTGACGGGGCGCCTGGCGCTGAGGCGGGGCTGGTGCGCAGGTGGGCGGCCATGTCCTCCCTCGCCCTCAGGTTCCAGCGGGGATTAGGGGAGGCAGCATATGGCGGCCTCGGGGCACCGGCACCGCCCTGCCCGGGCCTGCCCTGCCCTGCCCGGGGCCCCAGGACCCTCCCGGGCCCTGCCCTACCCTGCCCGGAGCCTCCCGGGCACTGCCCTGTCGTGCCCTGCCCGGGGGGTTTAAATGGCCCCTGTCCCGGTGCAGCCCCATCGGAGCCCATCCAGGACCCAGAGCCCCCGGAGGACGGAACCGGACACCCCCCGGGCTCTGGCTGGAGCTGCCGGACACAGTGGGCACTGTCCAGGTGGGCAGTGAGAGCCCACTGTGAGGAGACAGAGCAACAGCCCCCAGCAACAACGGGATGGCCGGGAGGCAGGGATGGATCCAGGCATAGGGATGGATCCAGGCATAGGGATGGATCCAGGCATGGGGATGGATCCAGGCATGGGGATGGATCCAGGCTCAGGGATGGATCCAGGCTCAGGGATGGATCCAGGCATAGGGATGGATCCAGGCTCAGGAATGGATCCAGGCTCAGGGGCAGACCCACACATAGGGTTGGATCCAACCATGGGGATGGGCCCAAGCTCAGGAATGGACCCAGCTGCAGGGATAGATCCAGCCATAGGGATAGATCCAGCTTTAGGGACAGACACAGCCATAGGGATGCATCCAGGTTTAGGGATAGATCCACTCTTAGGGATGGATTCAGCTATAGGGACAGATCCAGCCACAGGGATGGACCATGGGTGCTGCCCCCACCTTTCCCGGGCAACAGCTCCACCACCTTCCTTGTCCGTGGATTCTGCAGCCCCTCAGCCAAGCACGGGATGAAAAGGGCTTTTTCCCACCAGCTCCCGCCCTGCTCCAACCCGGCAGAGTCTGGGACAGACCTGGGTTCGAGGAGTTCTGGGAGCACAGATCCTCAGCTGGCCCCTCTCAGCACAGCCCCTCTCCCCCAGCAGAGGCAGGAGGACACCCAGCACCCACCAGGAATGACCACCCCATGTGGCTCCAGCGCTCCCAGCTCACCCCTGGGCTGGGAAAGGATCATCCAGCTCCCAAGGCCCTGCTGCCACCACGGGGGACAGCGTGGGGCGGGCAGGGGGTGAGAGCCTCGGGGGCCCCACGTGCCAGGGCAGTGCCAGGGCAGTGCCAGGGGTGGGGACGTGTTTGCGGAGATAAATCACCGTTGGGAGCAATGCGGAAGAGCCGGGAACGGGCCCCGCGCCGCGCCAAGCCGGCGATTAAATATTTACCTTAGCAGGCCGTGGTTGCCAGTGATGGATCTCAGCGTTTCCAGGGAGGAGCTCCTTTTGTTCCAGGCCCTCCCTGGTGCCCGCCGGGGCCACCAACCACGCCAGTCCCCGGGGACATTGGCATGGCTCCCGTGACACCAGGAAAAGGCACTTCTAAGGTAAAGAGGCACTTAAAAGGCTCATGTTTAGGGTGGAACAAACCAGGTTTAATCTCTGGAAAGGTGAAGGAAAACCCAAAAGGATCCTGGGGGGCTGCCCCTGGGCATGATGCCGGAGACACAGGGGTGAGGGGGTCACAGCACCCGCCGGGGCCCGAAGTGTGAATTAAAAATGCAGCATTTTCAGTGATCACAGAGCAGAAACGTGACTTTCCACCCCGAAAAACGTGTCTTTCCGCCCCAAATATCCACGTGAGTGCGGCCTCGGAGAGGCTCGGAGTAAAAAGTGAGCTACAAAAGGCTTTAAAAAGTGAACCTGTCCCCAAATAAATAAACCCCTGACTCGTGCCCGTGCTGTGTGCCGGTGCCTGGGGGTCCCTCGTGCTGGGGGTGTCACCAGCACCCTTCACCCACCTCCCCATCCCACCGTGGGGCTGCTGTCCTGCGAGGGACCACCTGGAGAAGTGCTGGAATGCTTTTGGCTGTGCCCCAGCCCTGTGGGGAACTCCTTCCTGGAGCCCTGTGGGGTGTGATGCCCTCAGGGCTGGGCTGGGGCCAGAGCACAGTGTCCCCAAGCCTTGCCTGAAGGGGACAGGGACCTTTCCCAGCAGCTGGTGGGAGATGGGAGAGGGCGAGCAGCGCCTTCCTGTCCATCAGGACCTGCCCAGATCCCGCACGGGGACATGATTTGGGTCCCTCCACGCCCTGTGTGGTGCCACTGCCAGCTCCCCGCTGTCCCCAACACTGGCCAGGGCAGAGCCCAGTCCCACGTCCCCGTGGCAGCGAGGGGACCCACTGGCCGGTGCCGCTACGTGCCCAGGGACAGGAATGTGACGTTGCCCTCCGTGTCCAGGCATAGCCCTTGGCTGTCCTCGGGCCCTGGCACGGAGCACCCGCCGCCGTCCTTGGGCAGTGTCCCCTCCAGCGCCTGCCGGTTGTCCACGTCCCTGGGGCGGGGCAGGGGCGAGTCCTGCTCCCCGGGGCCGGGGGACAAGCGCCTGGTGTCGGCCGACTCCGAGTCGTCTGTGCCCGGTGTCTTGGAGCCGCTGTTGTCCTCGTCCAAGGGGCTCTCAGGCCCCTCCAGCTCCGTGTCCGACTCACCCTCCTCCTCCTCCTCCAGGGTCAGCTCGAACTGGAACTTGTCGGTGTTGGCAGGGGACGCGCCGGGTCCCTCGGGCGGAGGGGACGGGCTGCGCCGGATCATGCTCTGGTACCACTCCCGGTTGTCCTCCAGCGTGTCCAGGAGCTCCTGGGCGTCGGGGTGCACCAGGTCGGCCCATGTCTCCCACAGCGGGTGGGCAATGAAGTCGATGAAGCCCACCTTGAGGGGGGAGAAGGAGGCAGAGCTGAGCCCCCGGCCCAGCCCTGCACACCCCCACCCCGTCCCCAGGCCGCCGCCCCACCTGGGACTTCTCCACGGAGGCAGTGTGCTTGTCGCACATGGGGCTGATCTCCATCCCCTTCTCCCGCTCCCGGTCTCCCTGGTGGAAGAACTCCACCATGATGCGGTCGGTCCACTGCCGGTACAGCTCCAGGGGCTTCGTGGGGTTGCTGAGGTCTGCACAGTGCACCATGTTCTGCAGGACCTGTGGGCACAGCCACGGTGTCCTTCGTCCCCCAGGACCACCCCCACACTGCGCCAGGGACCCTTGGCCATGCCCGGCTGTGGTTGGGAGTCACCAGGCAGGACGTCCCCGCAGCCCAGAGCAATGCCCAATGTCTGCAGTGCCAGGAAGGATTCCTAGCCGTGTCCCTGTGCCCACCTGGATCCGGTCGGAGTAGTTGTCCAGCAGCAGCACCCCCAGGCTGGTCACCTTCTTGGTCTCCACCATGGTCTTCAGATCCGCCAGCAGGTTCATGTGCTTGGACATGTCCGTGGCCAACACCTGGGCAGGGCAAGCCGGGAACGGGGCTCAGCCTGACCCCTCCCAGCCCAGACCCCCACCCCGGGGTGGTCCAGCCCCCCCCCCGTACCATGTCGATGACCATTTTTCGGAGCGTCTGCCTCTGCTTCCTGCTCAGGTTCTGGAAGATGTCGCAGTTCTCCTCCTGGAGGAGCTTGAAGCCCACGGCCAGGTGGTGGTTCTCCAGCACCGAGGCGTCGTTGTACATCAGCGCCAGCTCTGAGTCTGTGAGAGGGCACCAGTCACTGGGGGGACGCTGGGTGGGGTCCCCCACACCCCCCCCCAGCTTCATCCCTGCTCCCCAGCTCACTGGTGTTGATGAGGAACTGGTTGGAGACGCCGGGGTGGTCGACGTCGTGGATGGCGCTGGCGAAGATGGCAGCCATGATCTCCAGGTCCGTGAAGACAGCCTGGGAATGGTGGGAGAAGGAGTTGCGGGCGTGTTACAACCCTGCCAGACACACCCGGTGGCCTCCGTGGCCTCAGGAGATCAGGAATCACCTCCAGGGCAGGCGTGGAGAGGAGGACGTGGGTGGACTGCGCCACGTCGGCGGCGTGGAGGTTGTTGTGATAGGCCACGTCGGCGTGGTAATGGTCCTCCAGCGTCAGCATGTAGGTGATGAAGGTGTTGACAGGGATGCGAAAGGTCTTCATCAGGTCACGTTCCTGCAGGGAGGCGGGAGGTGGCTCGTCCCCATCCGGACACGGGGACAGGGCCATCCCGCCGGGATGCTCACCTGGAAGATGCTGTACATGATGACGGTCAGCGGGCGGTTCCCCGAGTACTCGGCGACTTTAAACACGTTGAGCCCCCACTTGTTGGTGTCCTCCAGCTCCTGGGGACCAGAGGGACGGAGGTCCGTGGGGGGCTGGCGCCAGGGACCCTGTGGTTGGGTGGGTCACCTGTGCCAAGCCCACCTTGGCCAGCAGCCCCTCGTGGTCCGTGCGCACCCCGAAGCGGGGGATGCCGGCGGCGGCGAGGCTGGAGCCGTGGGTGAGCTTCCTGACGCCGCTGATCTGGGACATGGGGCGCTTCCTCCGCTCCTTCTCCTTGTCCTTGGCCAGTGCTGAGGGGATCTCCACCTCATGCTGCTTGTCTGGGATGGCACCGGGGGGGCATGAGCAGGGTGGGAGCCCAGATTCCCCCCCCACACCCCCCCCCAGCTCGCACTGATGACGCGGCGCAGGTGACACCGTGATGTCGTGACAATTTGGGGGCTGCGTGGCGGGTGCCCAGCACTTTCCATCACTGCCCTGCACAAGCCACCCGCCTGCCAGCGGATCCAAACCCTGCCCTGG